TGTTGGACCGCTGTCTCGGTGGAGGTGTAACCGCCGTTGTTGGCAGTACCATTCTCATCGGTAAGTTTTACAAATCCCCGGCTCCGAGCTTAACATCAGCTAAGCATTTGCGCAGTCATTTTCGGCGAAGTCGTTCCCCAATCCGTCTGCGTCCGTTACGGTCTTCCGATCGGTGGCTTCATGTCCAAGCCGGTGCTCTTGCTCATGTGGCTTATGGCGCCCATTGCTTGGCCCATTGCTAAGCTTCTCGACTGGGCTCTCGGCGAGGACCACGGCACCACATACAAGAAGAGCGGTCTCAAGACGCTTGTCACCCTGCACAAGTCTCTTGGCGCGGCCGGTGAACGTCTGAACCAGGACGAGGTCACCATCATCAGCGCCGTTTTGGACCTGAAGGAAAAGCCTGTCGCGAACGTCATGACCCCCATGGGCGATGTTTTCACCATGGCCGAGGACACCGTGCTTGATGAGAAGACCATGGACATAATTCTGTCCGAGGGCTACTCCCGCATTCCAATTCACGCCACTGGTAAGCCCACCGATTTTGTCGGTATGCTCCTGGTCAAGATCCTCATCACCTACGACCCCGAGGACGCCCTGCAGGTCAAGGACTTCCCTCTCGCCACCCTTCCCGAGACACGCCCCGAGACGAGCTGCTTGGACATCGTCAACTTTTTCCAGGAGGGCAAGTCCCACATGGTCCTTGTTTCCGAGTACCCTGGTGCCGATTATGGTGCCATCGGTGTTGTCACTCTCGAGGACGTCATCGAGGAGCTCATTGGAGAGTGAGTAGTTTGTCTGGCGCTTCTCATATTGTGCTAACACGTTCACAGGGAAATCATCGACGAGTCTGATGTCTATATTGATGTTCACAAAGCCATCCGCCGTTTGACCCCTGCGCCCAAGGCCCGACCCATTAAGCGATCCACCGAGCCGTCGCCCCGGGTGATTCCCGAGAACGGTGATCTCATCGAATTCGATCGCGAAGTTCCCCACGAGCGCAATGGCTCTGTCAGCGCCATGAGCGACGCGCCTCAGCACCTGTCCAGCAGCCCCGGAAAGATGACGACCTTCTTGATGCGTAGGAGCTCCGCCGGCCCGGATGGGCGTCTGACCTCGACCGCCGTACCCGTGAAGGCCACCTTCGACGAGGCCAAGCAGCACCTGAAGCACCTTGGTCCTTCGAACCGCGCATCGAACCCCAAGAACACAAAGTCCACTACCGTCAAGATTAAGCCCGTCCAGACTGGTGCACCCCTGCACCAGGTGCATAGCCCTCCGCCTGCATCTGCCGGTCTTCGCCCTGCCTCCGTTGCTGGCGACATATCCGAGGAAAGGCATGAAGAAGAAAACGAGAACACCCCGCTCATCCGACCCAAGCTTACCGGCAAGGGTGGCGTCCACGCCGTGCGTAGGAGCTACGGCGTTGCGGGCATGAGCGACACTCAAGCCAGGCTCGCCAGCAGCTCACCTCACCACGAAGATGACAAGGCAGCCGATCAGGTGGACCTGCCTCCGACTGTGCCTGAGAATGGCAGCAGTCCCGAGGCCAGCCGCACGGATTTGACGATTATTGTTTCACCCGGGAAGGCCAGTAACTCGCCCAGCGTCACCAGCGTCATTGAGGACGGATCTTCGACTCCCAAGCGTAGGCCTCTTGTTCGAAGCGGTAGTATCAGCGAGAACGTGGTTGAGACAAGTAGTGGTGTGCGAAAGATCATCATCCAGGCCGCTAGCTCCGACTCGGAGGACAACGGATCTAAGGGCTCCTCTGGCCACCGCTCGCGTACCACTAGCCAGTCCAACATCCTGTCTAGTCAGGAATCCGAGGCACACGACGAGAATGAACACGGCGAAGCATCAAGTACAGCGCCGAGCACAAGTACTGGCGGCCAACAAGCCAGCAAAAAGAAGAACAGACGGAAGAAGAGAAAGGGTAACAAATAGAGGAAACGTGCGTAGGGGATCGTCGAATTTCGTGCTTGTATGATATCGATAGTAATTTGAGCGGCTACCACGGTACGCCTTTTCTGTAACCTATACAACGGCGCCGCGCACATTACACACCATTGCATCAATCTGGTATTCAATAGTTATCATCAAATTTTTGTATTCTTGTCTTATGTGATGTGTGAACCCAGCATCCGGGGCTCTCTATATCCAAACATTACCCATCCTTCTCTTTAGTCGTACCAGATGGCGTTCATGCCGAAACCAGGCTCAGGGATGCGCAACCTCGCGACGCGGCCCAGGAACTCGTCGTGCCAGCGGTAGATCTCGATCCAGCCCTCCTGGTCGTCGGTGATGGCCAGCCACTCGTCGCTCCAGTCGCACGGGCTGACGGCGTTGCTGTGCCCGCCGCTCGTCGGGGTGGGGTTGAGGCAGATCTGCCTCTCGATGTGGCCGTTGTCGTCGAGCTTGAAGGCGGCGATGTAGCCGGTCACGTCGAAGCTGTTGGAGCGCGCGGTGGCGAAGAGGTACTTGCCGCTGTGGGAGAGGGTGCAGACGTCGGAGCGGTACATTTTGCTGTTGGCGCCGGGGATGCCCGGGGGGATGAGGGGGAAGGCGCGGTGGGTGTAGACGGGCAGCTTGGTGGCGGGGTCGATCACGTACTCGCAGAGGCGGTTGCCGGCCTCCATGAGGGCGTAGAGGTACGCGCCCGAGGGGTGGAGGGCGACCCAGCGCGGGTGGTCGCCGGGGTCCGGGGCGTCGACGGAGCCGACGAGGTCGAGCTCGGGGGAGTCGGGGGCGCGCTTCTTGTGGACCCAGAGCTTGTTGGCGGTCAGGTCGGCGGAGTAGAGGTAGGTTTCCGTGGGGTCGAAGACCATGCCGTGGATGCCCGTGTTGGGGTCGTAGGGGTAGTTCTGGACGTTGGTCTCGAGCTTGCCGGTGGGGGAGACGGAGAAGATGTTGCCGTGGGAGGCGTGCTTGTAGAATGGGTTGCAGTAGACGGCGTAGGGCGGCTTTTGGGCTGCGAGGAGGAATATTGCGCGGGTGTTTGTTGTTGAGAGGGCGGCGTTAGCTGTGGGTGTGGGTGTTAGTGATGAGTTTCTGGGAGATGAGGTGAAGGTGGGCATACGGTCATGGGTCATGTCGTGAGAGGCCTCGTGGATAATCTCGGAGGGGCTCTTGACCGCGAAGCTGGACCACTTCTTCATGGCGGCGCCGTAGAGGTTCTTCTTGTCATGCTGTCGACGAGGTTATGTAAGCCAATTGGTCAATGGCAGACAGACACTCCAAAAGGAGAGAGAGTTCAGTCACTCACGCTGAAGGTCATCCATGATATGGGCTGTTCCTGGGGGATCTCGGTGCGCTTGACGAGCTCGAGGGTGAAGTTTTCGTCGTCGAAGGCGACGGTGAAGATGGCACCTGGGGGCGTCCAGGTGCCGATCATGAGGTGGTGGATGGTCATTTTGAGCGGCGTTGTCGAGAAGGACCTGGTATATGCAGCAGCCCGATGACGTGTGAAGAGGCGGGATGTTCTCGACAGGAGCATGGGCTGGATGCGTCACTGAGGCGCGAAAGGATGTAAGAGAGGAAACACGTGAAATGGGATGGGGGAAAAAAAGGGAAGAAGAGGGAAAAAAGAGAAAAGTCGCGTGTGGTTTTACGGTTCGGAATGACTAGGAGCGAGGGTTACCGGGTAGTCCCACCGAGGCAGCAGTACCTTGGAGCTCCGTCCTAGCTGGCTAATGGTTGTGAGAAGTTTCCACCTTGCATCGCAAAGCTCTTTAGGCCAGAGAAGGGGGAGAAGAATGAAGCTCTCTCATCTGCCCCTCGTTTCCGAACCCCGGACGACGAGGGGCAGCGGTTGGCGTGCGCATGGAGAAGGGCGACCCGCTGGGATGTGGGGTTTTTGGAGAGTTGGAGGGGCCGTTCGGGAGATGTGGCGGTAATTGGGTGCTGAGAGGTCGCTTTCCGGCAGAGTGTTCTTCCTCCGCCTGAGCTGGGTTGTCTTTCGCCCAAGAGACTTTGCTGTAGTGCCGTCTTCAGGAATTATGATTTCACGGTCCGGTGGTGATGGGTGAATTATAATGAGACGAGACTGGTTCGTTCGATTTGATCGGGGCTTCTCACAATGTGCATCTTGACATATGCTGAAGACTGGCGGTCGTCTGAACTATGTCTCTTCATGTGTGTTCAATTGCCGGATCTCGACCTTCTGTCATTGGCATCATGATTCGAGATTCATGACCCAGCAAGCGGTGAGGAACCTCTTGCAAGCTGCGTTTCTCCCCGTACCCACGGCGACACGGCAGTGACACCCGGCTGCTGGACAGGAACTTGTCGGTCGAAAAGACTCCGTCAGCGGAGCCATGGCTAGTCAGTCTTCCGAGGTTCTCATCGTATCCCCATCCAAACCCCCTGTTCCCCCGGGTTCTCCATCTTAGCTTCGCAAGTGTGGTTGAAGCCAGCCACTCAGGTTCGGGCAGAGACAAATAACAGTGTGGTGGGGAGCAAAGACGCTCGCTACCTAGAGGAACTCATCTCATAAGAAGTTGTGTGCGTGAGACAAGCGAAGACTTCGCCGTCGACAACTTTAAGTATATCTTCAACGGCATCGGCATAAACCAGCATCTGAATTGACTTTCTTCCCCTGCAACGTTGGCTCGTGTGTTTTGTCTTGGGTGATTCGAGGGTGGTTCCATTGCGACCCGCCATGCAGAAAGTTTAACACACTTCGCAAGTATTAATCAACTCAATGCTTCCGTTCCGTTTCCCGTTGCGATGTCTTGGTCTGTTCTGTGATTTCGGTGTTTTGCCTACTTTGAAGCTCTGATTGCAACATGTTGCTCGCATCTTCTTCAAGAACACTCGTGTTTAGTTGCCGTCAAGCTGCAACACGTAGTCTTCGTCAACGGCCGCAACTCACAACCCCCTTGTCACTAACACAACCCTGCGCAAGATGGACTTCGAGTGCGACAAAAGATGGCGCCGGCAACAAACAGCCTCCTGCCCATAGATTTGACCCTAACTTCACCCAACGTGTCATCGATACCATGGGTCCCAACATGACACCTCGAAACCGACAGATCATGAGCTCCTTCATCCGCCACCTTCACGATTTCACCCGCGAAGTCGAGTTGACGATGGACGAATGGATGACGGCTGTCCATTTCGTCAACTCCGTGGGTCAGATATCGAACAAAACTCGCAACGAAGCCCATCGCGTGTCTGACATCCTCGGTCTCGAATCGTGAGTCTGAAGTCGCTGTCCCAAAATGAGTCTTACGTTTGACAATAGACTACGTAAGACTCGTCGATGAGATTGCGAACAAAATCGTCACAGAAGGCGGCCTCGACCCAACTTCGTCGTCCATTCTCGGCCCCTTCTGGTCGCCTGAGGCGCCTTTCCGCGAGCTGGGAGACAGTATCATCCAAGATCCAGCGCCCGGCGGTCGGGTTTGCAAGATGCACGGCACCATCACCGATCTCAGCACGGGGAAGGGCATCCCTGGAGCGGTGTTTGACATTTGGCAGGCGTCGTCGAACGGCCGCTATGATTTCCAGGACCCGGAGAACCAAACGCCCAACAACCTTCGAGGCAAATTCCGCGCGGATGAGGAGGGAAGGTACTGGTTTTATTGCTACCATCCGACGGCATACAGTCTTCCCCGCGATGGTCCCAGTTTCAAGCTGTTGAACATGATGGATCGGCACCCGATGCGGCCGGCGCATATTCATATAATGGCCAGTAGCATGTTTCCCTGAGGTGATCCAACGTGGTAAGCTTACGCGATGGCAACAGGTCACACACCCAGAATTCAGGGGATGCACCACCCAGCTGTACCCCAACGACGATCCCTGGCTCTCAACCGACACCGTCTTCGCACTCAAGGACGATCTCTTGTGCGACTTCAAACCTCTCAAGGGCGACGACAAGGCTGAGCTGGAACTCGAGTACAACGTCATCCTCGCTCCAAGGGATTACAAGGCCAAGAACACATAACCCGGCCCGCAGGATCAGGCTGCGGGCACTTGGCCCTGTGCTTGCTGATCTCCAATTCTTAGCCAATTTTCCAGTATGTCTTACACAAATAATTTAGCATGACCAATAGAAACACACGAGATGTCTCCTGAAAGTAAGCCTCGGAGGAAGCCTAGGAGGCGCACGCTGCAGGCGTGTTAGACAAGGCTCGCTTAGTGCTGCTGAAGTCGAGACCAACACGCGTGTTGCCAAGTTCATCATTCTGTCCCCGTTCATCCACTTTCTCTGCTTGATTTGATTCGATTGATGCTCTCTCGTGACGGTTGGCGCGACTCATGATGGAAACATTGGAGGATACCATTGAGGGTCTTTGGTCTTTCTCAGACCACAGCGACCGGCACCATCAAAACGTCGAAGCCACCCATCCGGAGACGTGCCAGTGGGTATTTGGCAACTCGACGTACCATGAGTGGGAACAGGACGAAGGCAGAGCTCTTTTTATTACCGGTCCTCCGGGCATAGGAAAGTCATTCTTAGCGTCTGCAGTCATCGAAGAGCTCCGTGGGCTGAGATCAGTCGCGTACTTCTTTTGCGACCAGTTCCCCGCTGCGACAGCTGATTCCTTTTACAAATGCGTCCTAGCACAGCTTGCGGGGGATATTGGCGCCAGTACAGACGTTCTGTCTCAACTACACCTTTTGGTCAAAGAGGCTGGTGAGAGTGTTCTTGACGAGGGCCAAAGGCGATTTGCCTTGGATCTAGTAAGACGCAAGAACGGCTACCAGAAAAGTCCCTGTTTGATCATTGATGGGATACATGAGCTGAGAGACGACAGCTTGCTACATCTAATCTCGGCGGTTCGAATGCTTCAAGACGAGTACGACTTCAACATTCTAATCACTTCAAGATGCATATTTCCGCAGCTGGAGGTCCTCGATTCTGCCAGCACTCTGGAGATTACCAGTAAAGATACTGACGATGACTTGACACGATGCATCAAGCATCGTCTTGAAGACAATGAAGAGCTGTGGCATAGATCTGCAGAATTTGTGCCTTCTATAGTAGAAGGTGCAGAGGGAATGTAAGTATCCCCTAAATTACAAAGAAAAGACAGCTAAAGGTTCGCAGATTCTTCTTCGCGACCCAGATCGTGGACTGTGTGCTAGAAGCATCTAACACCTCAGACGCCCGAAGCCCCGATGCGTGGAAGACCTTGGGCAGCAGCCTCAACACTCTCTTCGACGGGCTTCTTGACAGCATCTTGAGTAGACCGGACGCCAGCACTGCTTCGTGCGCATTCAACTGGCTGGTCTACACAGAAAGGCCACTTTCCATGAGAGAGCTGCAACATGCGTTAGCCGCCAATGCCACAAGGCACCTATGGAACACGAAAGAACCTCTCCACCAAGCCGTCGAGCCTCTGTATCACACCGTCAATCCCAAGACGATCTTATCGGCTCTGAGAGGGCTTGTGCAGGTAGACAAGGGCACGGGAGTCGTTCGATTCTTTCACTCGGCGGCGGGAGAGCACTTTCGACAGCACGCTGAGCGGTTCCCCAGTGCGCAAGAGATGATCACCGAGGCTTGCGTCAGGATACTGGCATTTGCATGCCTTCCATGTGAGTAAGATTTCGTTCTCATTGTAGAGTATTTTCCGCTCGGCTACTGTAGCTTGATTGGACGACGATATTCATGACTACCTACGGAGAAGACGAGAAGGAACAAGGAGCACTCTCTTCCCAGTCGACTGTCTCTGGCTTGTAAACAAATGTTCTACCCAGGAAACATACTGATCTCTTCCTCTACAGCTCCGAGCGAAGCCAACTGGGTTATCGAAGATTCTTCAAATGAACCCAAAAGACCATCCTCAAAGTCATCCCACAACGAACCCGAGTCATCCGAGGCGACCTCTGAGAAGGCTTCATCCCGCAGTCCCTGGCTCCCTCGCATGATGGACAAGTTATACCACTCATCTCAGTCGTACTCTAACTCCTACCGGCCGCAACACAACCCGTTCCAGGTCAAGCTACAGATGCCGGCCAACCAGGGTTTCTTCAGGTCAGGTAGGGAATACGAGGAGAAACTGCATGTACAGCCGCTGCTCCAGTATGCCGCATGCAACTGGGGTTATCATGCTCGATCGTGCCCCATGGATGACAACATCATGGACCTCTTGCAAGACCGGGTCAGACTTGATGGGATATGCCAGACGCTTACATATGAACACAGCGGCTACAACACAAAGTTCCCCAGAGACGTAACTGGCCTTCACCTAGCGGCCTATTTCGGGCTCAAGGGCGCAGCAATACGCCTATTAGACGCCGGGGTTCCTGCGAGCTCGAGAGATAGTTATGGCCAGACACCGCTGTGGTGGGCAGCCAAACACTACCAAGAAGAAGTCGCGCGGCTGCTCAGTGAGAAGGACAAGGTCACGCTCCACCTCCTCATCCGGGCGAAGCAGACTTCCCTGGTCGAGTTCCTGCTTGACGTCGGGTATAACGTCAACACGACCGACATCGAGAAGTGGACACCTCTGCACGCTGCGACCAAAGAGAAGGATGTCGAGATGGCAGAGCGGCTAATCCAAGCCGGGGCCGATGTCGACGCCACGGATGTCAACGGGACGCGGCCGCTCAGTCTAGCTATGGAGATGCGCAACTATGAGCTCATCCATATGCTGGTGGCCAACCAGGCTGACACGAAGGACCTTGATCTAGGAAAGATCCGAACAGTGTTTGGTCTGCAGTCCGGCGATTCTCTTGAGATATACGAGGACAGGCATCACGGCACGAAGATTATGAGGCAGATTCCGAGGGAGTTCTCGTGGACGTCGGATATGCAGGCCGACACTGGACGCTACTCCATGTAAGTGAGCGGTGTAGATGCGCAGGTTGGATTAGGTCATGTCAGCTCACTATAATCACAGGAACCTCTCAAAGTTAAAGTCAACCAAGAAGATTCCTGGTATTGAGGAGCTGGGGCTTAACCACCTGTTGGACTTCAAGAGAGAGCAAGCGGTGCCGTTTGTGCTTCGAGTGGAACAGCTCACGGAGAACACACAGGAAGGAAGTGTTTGGATTTATTATCTCGAGATCGCGTTGCCATCGGCAGGCCGCGATCATGAGATCCATATTTGCTGGAATGTGACGTCCCATACCGACAAGAATGGGCTGCAATCCTGGAGAACAACCGCACATCTGAGCAACCTGCAGAGACTCTGGCTGCCTGAAAAAGGCATCGAGCTTTTTCAGAGTTTAGTCTCGGAGGTTCAGAAGCGGTGGAGCTCCGTTGTCAGGAATACCATCAACAACATCAACGGACAGGTATGCACTCAACCCCTCTTGGGATTATTAATTTCGAGCTAACAAGGAGAAAGCGACGCGGTGAGGTTTTGGAAGCAAACGGCAGCGACCCAAACCTCCTAGGCACATTGCTGAAAGACGCATTGAGACCGGTCCACTATCGACGCCGGTTACAGACCACCGTTACCGAGGCACAAAAGTTTGCGACTGATTACTGCAATCGTCATGACGAGGTTGCTGACCTTGACGGGCTTCTAAAGCAGATCGAGGCGTTCTCTGACGATGTTGGTAACTATATCGGTCAACTAGATCAGATTACAAGGGATCTAATCCAAATGGTGGGCATGCACCCAGGATCTACACGCCCCATACTTACACTCATTCAGGAATTCAATCTGGTCTCCATCAATGAGGCTCGGCAGTCTGTGAAGATGGCGGCGAGCTTGAAGAGATTGAGTTGGATTACGGTAAGTAAACCTCGATGCACATAGAGGCTGTGAATGCTTACGACACGTCTAGTTCATCTTTCTACCTCTCACATTCATAGCAGTAAGCGGTATTTCATTCAGTTATCCCGTGACAGCTGCTTATCAGACCACTCTACAGACATCCTTTGGGATGAACATTGATATCCTTTCTGATGATCCCCCCTGGTATTGGTATCTTCCATTTGCCGGAGTCACCATCCTTCTCACTTCGGCGGTGTGGCTTCTCTTCAAGTACAGCAGGGTAAGCATTCACATGTACCGTTTTCTTCCGTGCCTTACTAATACATTAAAATCCAGTTGGAGGATATGATCGAGAGGTCGATGGGTAGAGTACTGTCGCGGAAACAAGCTGATAGCGATGGACGGCCAATGTTTCATTTTTGAACGTTGGATCCCGCTCAGGGTTCATGTAGGATAATTTTGAAGAAAGGAGTATCATTCATTATAATTACAATAACAGAGCTGCGACGTCTGCATGTTGTATAACTAGTCTTACACTCTCAATATTTCGGCTCAATCAGACGTGGTAGATGAGCGCTCATACAACGCCTTGAACGCCGAATTCCTCTCAAGGAGCTCTTTCGGCCTGCCATACTCGACCAATTCGCCGGCATCAACGACCGCAACTCTGTCAAAGTCCACAATGGATTCCAGCTTATGTGCGATGGCGATGACGGTCCAGTCCTGGAACCACGATCGCAAGACCTCATCGATGACGTGACTTGATTCGTCATTCAAACTGCGGGAAGATGTAAGTGATTTGTCACACCTGAAAGTAGATAGCAACATTACCTGCTCGTGATCTCGTCGAGAATCAGCACCCTGCCCTTCCGCAGCATGGCTCTGGCAAAGACCAAAAGCTGCGCCTCACCCTGCGAAAAGAACTTGTCGTCAATCAACGCATCGAGGCCGCCTCGTTCTTCGACCTTGCCCCAGAGCTGCACCTTCTCGAGGGCCTCGACGACATCAGAATCTGGCACGGTCCCGGTCGGGTCGATGTTGAGCCGCACGCTGCCGTCGAAGATGTACGACTCCTGCGGCACGGCGACGAGATGGGAGCGTACGTATTCGTGGGGGAGGGTGGAGAGGTCGATGCCGTCTACGGTGATGGAGCCGCTGTCTAGATCGAGCATGCGGAGGAGGGACAGCACTATGGAACTCTTGCCGCTATCGGCCGTGTTAGAGAGGCGTCCACGAAACTTTGACTGAATCAGAAGCTCACCTGCCGGTT